AATTTGCCACCAAACACAGTTAGCATTTCCCCTCTATCTGGTCTATAAGAATGTACATGAGGGAAATAGTGAATTTGAATAACGGTTAAAATGTGGTATTTGATGGAAAGAAAAAATCTGATGTGTACACCACATGACTTCCATATATGGAATATTAAATTATACGCAATTTTCCTACATTTCATTGAAATATATCAAATTAATAGTTAATGAATTTTGAATTAAAACTACTTTGTCGATAGCGCATAAACATTAAAGTTCACTATATTTATTTACCATAGCGACACTTTGGCGCTAGGTTCACTTAATAGTGTTACATCTCATTCATTTTATAACTCAGAGTGCACAAAAATTGCATCATCTGAAGAATTACCACATGTTCTATTCAAATACTGTAATAAATCTAAAACGATGTGTAAAAGAAATTAAACAAATAAAAAACGAAACAGTTTTTCGCAGACGATTCAGCGCTGCTTACCTAATGAGCATGCGCTACTTATTAATTCAGTTCTCATTTCGCGGCAACGCAAAAATACATAAAAATTCAAAATATTTCCATTTAAACTTGAAAGCTATAGAAAAAAATAAAACACCGAATAGAGAAAAAAAAAAAAAAAAAACTTTTACAATTAAAATTACAGTTTCTACGCCAAAACAAGCCAATAACTTAAATGTTAATTCCAGAATGAATTACGCACAATTTAATTATGCAATCATAAAAGAAGACGTTACTTTCTTGTTGCGAAGCTTAGTTTCTCTAGATTGGCAACAAATCCACTATTCTGACAAGTTTCAAATGTAAAACACACATGGCTGCTACGGTAATCAGAAGTTAAGCTGAGCCGCACTTAACAAACTTTTAAACTATTGATAATTCCACAATTATTGCATGCAGGTTAACTATAGGCATAAAAGTCTTACCAAGATAACATAATTCAATCATTTTTAAAGCAATAATGCACAATTTACAAACATGTAAGAATAAAGAAATTGAAATTACTGAGCCGAGTAACAGAGTGGATATACTTTTGATGCTGCCGAGTGCAAGCAAAATACGAGGTGCACATCTACATGTTATAGTAATCCTATATACAAAATTTCAACGTTCTGAGGTTCCTCGTTTTTGAGGCTACTCGTTTTGAGTTTTGTGCGTACGTACGCACAGACGCTGCGAAAAATTCTCTTCAGAATTCATTTTAAATCAGATAATTTTTTGGGGGAAAAAGAGTCGTTTATTCTGTTCTTACTTACAGATGTCACGCAAAACCATCGTTAAATTGCATTGGATAGCGGTCGAAATGGATATTTTCGTTAAACTATGATGCCTGAAAATTTTCGCGATTACAATACTTCCTTTTTACTTCGTACAAGGAAGTAAAATAGGTGATAAATGATAATTCTTCACCACCAGTATTTGGCTATTAGGTTCCGTAAACCCTAGTCGCCCTTTAAAAGGGGAAGTATATAAGGTATTTCTCCCTCCTTCTTAGCATGCCTTCGTGGTGTAGTGGTCACCATGCTCGACGCGTATTCGAGAGGTCCTTGGTTCGAGTCCCGGACAGGGCATTGCACATTTTGTATGCCTCCTGCTTCGAAATACCTAATGTCTCTGCAAGTGATATCATCAAAAATGGCTGCGTTCCATTGTTGCAGATATAATGAGTGAGAATTAGTTTCTATCGAAATTTGTCCGAAATGGCAGTTCCATATGTGATATAGGTGTATATATATCTATACATACAATATGATTCTATGATTACGTAGTCAGTTGTGGTACATGGATTGAAAATTAGTTTGTTTCTTTGGCAATTGTTATGCATTAAAATGATACACATATTTCTTATGACGTGTAATATGCTACTATATGAATTTTCAAATGATGCTTCTCTCAGTCTAACTTAACTGACACCGGGGAGTTTCGCTAGTTTTAAAATAAACTGCGAAAATCCAAAATGGCGGCCCTTCCACGTTCCTGTTTCGCTTCCCTAGCAATAATGGAAATCTTAACAAAACTCTCGAATTCTTCCTTCCTATGAATGAATCGTTCCTAGCGAAACTCTTGAAATGGCTACAAAAAAATCTTCATTATTAATGCGTGGCGCATGCGTGGAATTTTCGAATTAATGCGTGGAATTTTCATGATTAATGTCACTGTGATTGTAATTTAGTTGACATTCCTAACCTTCATTCAAAAGTTTCGGTGGAATAAAAAGGTATAACAAGGGTACGTGCAATTCAGAAACCCATTATTCCTCATGCGGCTATCATGCTAGCAAAACTCTCGAATTCTTCCTTCCTAGCAATGAATCGTTCCTATCAAAACTCTTGAAAACGCTACAAGAAAAATTTTCATGATTAATGTCACTGTGATAGTAATTTAGTTGACATCCCTAATTTTCATTCAAAAGTTTCGATGAAATAAAAAGGTATAACAAGGGTATATGTAATTCAGAATTTAATTCAATTCAGAATCCCATTTACTCCTCATATGGCTCCCATGCTATCAAAACTTACTAATTCTTCCTTCCTAGCAATGAATCGTTCCTAGCAAAACCCTTGGAATGGCTACAAAAAAATCTTCATTATTAATGCCACCTTACATACCATATGTAATTTAGTTGAAATTCCTAACCTGCATTCAAAAGTTTCGATGGAATAAAAAGGTATAACAAGGGTATATGCAATTCAGAATTCAATTCAGAATCCCATTATTCTTCATGTGGCTCCCATGCTAGCAAAACTCTCGAATTCTTCCTTCCTAGCAAAACTCTTGGAATGGCTACAAAAAAATCTTCATTATTAATGCCACCGTGATAGCAATTTAGTTGATATTCGTAATCTTCATTCACAATTTTCGATGAAATAAACAGGTATAACATGGATATGTGCAATTCAAAATCTCATTATTCCTCATATGATTCGACGGTTCACGAGAAAAGCCCCCCAAAAAGTGCTGTACGGGGCGGACAGAGGTACTAGAAGTGTCCTGTGTAATCCAGTTTTCAGAAAAATTCGATTTCGCTTATTTCGAGCCACTATCCTCATCACCGGCACGAGAACTTGTCGACAAATTACTGTCTTGATGTCGTCTTATTGACTCGTACTAGATGGAACAGCCTTTGGGACAGCCATCATCGATGAAACGGCCAGATTACATCTCGGAATTCGTGATTTCCTTCTTCGGCGCTGGCCCTGACCGTTCTCTAAGCATTGTCACATCGACAATGCATTTTGCAACCTGTTGTTTAAATTCAGCCTCTGATAGAATCGCTTACGCACGCTCAGTGGAGTAGCTAGACGGGGTGGCGCATTTTTTAGGGCGGCATTGTTTGCACGAAACATTATTTTATAGTGCTTCGCCGGACCGGACGTCGAGGTATGGGAAACAATAATTAGGTTCTTAACTAATTCATGGTTGATATTCATAAGGAATAATTCCTTGTTACGAAAGAAGTATTTCACAGTTTCATTTCTGTTGTTTATAGGAAAATCGATCTCGGAATTGCAATCCTTTCAAATTTTTAGTGCAAAGGGCCTTTGTCCCTGAAGGATTATTGTTTTCGTTTTGCGATTTTGCGTGGGAACCCTATAAACGGTGTGTCACTTTTCAAACCGTTGCCACCAAATACTATCGCCCTGTATTATATTTGAAGAACTTAAATAATGAAGAATCTGCATAGCGTATGTATGTTTCTTGCATTGTGATAAAACAAAGGTACCTAGAGCCATCCAATTTTGAATGACGTAATCCTACTGCGAATATGAGCATCTCAAAGCCCAAATTAAAAATTTGGAATTTGTTTTATAATCGATTTCATAATTTGTAAAACTTTAACGAATTTTTGATTAGCAAACTCAAGGATTACAAAGCGAGCAATGGTAACTTTGTACAGATTTTTTTTTTTAATTTTCAGGGCGCGAGACTGTGTATCGGGAATTCTAAAGATACCTCAATTTAAAATTATTTTGCGATATTACCATTGAATTGAATTTTATGGTTTAAGTGCAAATAACATGATATTAATAAATAAAGATAACATACAAAATGGGGGGAACCTTTGGACGTAATTTTAAATTTGAAACTTTTCAGGTTTTCTTGTTTTTTATATATTCTAATTATTAATTATTTATATTTTATATTTCTTTTATGTGTGCATATTTAACATAGCCAATATGTTTGTGCAAATGGCAAAATATACTTTTTCATATTTCTACTGAGAAATTGTGTGTGATTATGGCAGAGCCTCGAGGGCTATCTGCATAAGGGGAGGGATGCCTTCGTGGGAAACATTCTAAGGAAAACTGGCTCGTATACACGTTACAGATGGGGAAAACCGCGAAAATGCCCATGCAGCCAGCCCGTTCGCGGGATTCAAACCTCGGACCGAACTACCAGTGTTCAGCGACTTTAACGCTCGGCCGCTGGTGGACCTACTGAGAAATTGAAAAATAATCATTGTAAAATGTTCGTTTTGAATAACGTAATCCTTCACCGAATATGGGTATCTGGAAGTTTTTCAATTATGGGTATTCAAGTTTTTCAGTTTTTGTTTAGATGGTACGCGTTAGTCAAAAGATCGGGAACCGCTGATCTGATGCATTTAAATTACATCCTTAGTGAAACCAGACCCGTTCCGATTTGAGAGGAAGTAGAGTAGTAGAAAGTGTGAAAATTTTTTAAAAAAATTGTACTATAATTTAAAAAATTGTACTAATAAATGTAATAAAAAATTTTAAATAAAATGTAATAATAATAATAATGTAAATAATAATGTAAAGTAAGTAAATAATAATGTAATAAAAAAGTTGTAATAAAAAATGTGAGATAAATATTTTACTCGAATACCAGTCCTGCTCTAAACCACTCATAAAAGTGGATTAAAATGGCTGATTGTGTTAGAGCAGCTTTCGAGTCGCAAGAAAATTATGTAAATAAATTCTCATTGCGGCGAATTTATCGGCCTTTTATTTAAAGTGTGATACGGGTGTTTTCCATTGGACCAATCGCGCAGGCGCCGGTCAAAGTGAACTTGAAGCACCCGCACTTTCTCCTCACACTTTACATTGTCATCTGTGTCCAGTTAGCTATGTTCCGCGCTCTGTTCGTTTTGCAAGTTTGGCTTGCGTTTGCTACAGGTAAGGCTACAATTACTAATTTCGTTTCCATTTTTCGATTGTTGAATAGACAATAAATCATCTCGGTGGTTATTTGTTCACTCGGACCGTTATGACGAATTATGATTTTTATCAGTCTGACTCCTGGCTTTTGGGACCTGTAACAATACGTATATTTATTTTTATTATAACAAGTTTCTGTTTAGTTCACTTATGATGTTTCACAGCAGTCGCTATTATGAGATACTTCCTGAGATATGAATTTCAGATTTTTATACACGTACTGTTCGTCGATGGCGATAAAACCTGGCAACACGATTTTTTTTTTTTTTTTTTTTTTTTTTCAAAATTCGATTTATACGTATATCTATCTATCTATATATAAAGAACAACGCCTGTTGTGTTGTTTGTTCGCGATTAACTCAGTCACTACTATAACTGTCGTCACCAAACTTTCTACAATTCTTTTCTGGGTTCTGGAAAAGGTCAACGTCCACTTTTTTCCAAAACAAAGTAGCTAAAAGCAGAGATATGAATTAAAAACTCCGAAAATGCTAATTTTCATCTCCATTTTCTTGAGTGGCAACAGTCTTGCACGCTGGAGATAAAAATCTGCTTTATGGCGAAAGTTGTTGCCACTGCTTGTTTTCAAATCGTAGAATTTGTTATTAAAAAATTTCTAAGCTTTACAATGAAATTAAAATAGCATTGCCAAAACATTAAATACATTATTCCCGATCCCAAAAATTCGTGGGAAGCCATTTCGACGGTTTCCATCTTCGTACGACTTTAATCAGCCGAGACATTAATTAAAAACTCTAAAAACACTAATTTCCGCACTCATTTTCCTGAGTGGCAACAGTTTCGCACGTTGGGGATTAAAATGCAAAAGTGTTGTTACTGCTCGGTTTCAAATCGTAGAGTTTGTTAATAAAAAATTTGTAAGTTTTACGAAATCTATCTCTCTCTCTCTATATATAAAGAAGAATGTGTGTTTGCGTGTTTATTTGTTCGCGTTATTGATTTCTGATCAATTATGATCCATTTCTTGCCACACTTAATCGACTAGAATTGAATATAGGTGAAATAGTGGGTGAGCTTTTACGACGATTTAATTAGAAGGACGAAAATCCTTAAAAACTGCGGGGAATCGTTGCTGATATAATGAGAGAAGAATTAGTTTATTTTCTTATCGCCATTTTTATGTGGGATTCATATCGTATCAGACTGAAAAATGTACGACTATGAATTGTATTTTTTGCATCGTTTTTAGAGAAGGATTACATCGGTATCGTTCTATCTATTGTTAGATACATTATTCTCAATATAACTTAACTGACACCGGGTATTTCCTCTAGTATGTATATAAACGTTTAATGTTTAATGATTCTTCGCACATCAATCTTTGGTTCTAGAAACCGAAATGGGATATTTTTGTGATTTTTCATTCCGTAACCTAAATACGAACTCAATTTACTCAGGAGATCGTCTGCGCAGATAGACTTACTTGACATTTTACAGTCTATATAGTTTCAAATAGTACATTTTCTACTTTTGTAATTTTCTCAAATGTTCGCAGTTTCTCGGAAAGTATGTCTGTTGCTCTCGCCCATTTTGCACGTCAGATCAAAGGATAAAATATTATCAGTGGTGCAGTTACAGCCATTGTCATCTTGGGCAGTCTATTTGCCGCCCTTCTTGATGCATTAAAAAAATTAATATTCAATAAAAATATCAGAAACGGGCATAGGGAACTGTGTCATAGCTAGCTGAGGGTAGGCCCTTGAGTTTGCCGCGCTAGACATTCCTTGGGTTTGCCACGCTTTTTGATAATCAAACATGTAACTACAAAAAGTTTAATTTTAAAGCAAATCTTCAATTCTGACGTTTTAAAATTTTATTTAAGTTCAAAGGGGGCAATTTGCACGGAAGGACTATTAATTTCGTTTTGTCATTTCGCCTTGATTCACTTTTTAAATTGTTGGCAGCAAATATTACAGCCGTGTATTATATTTAAACAAATTAAATAATGAAGAATCTGCATAAATGTATGTATGTTTCTCGCATTGTGATAAAACGACGGTACCTAGAGCCATCCAATTTCGAATGACGTAATCTTATTGCGAATATGCGCATCTGGAACCCCGAATTTGGAATTTGTTTTATTATCGATTTCAAATTTTGTAAAACTTTAACGAATTTTTGCTTAACAAACTCAACGTTTTCAAAACTCAACAAACTCAACGAAGTTTAACAAACTCAACGAAGCAAAATTTTTATGGCCAGCGCGAGATTGTGTATCGGAAATTCTAAAGATAGACTCATTTTAAAATTATTTGGCAATATTGCTGTTGAACTGAATTTTAGAGTTTAAATGCGAAGAACATGATTAATAAATTAAAGTTGAACACAAAATGTTAAAAAAATGCGCCTCTGGGCTTAGTTTAAAATCTGAAAGCTTTCAGATTTTGTTTTTTATTTATTTATTTATTTATTTATTTTAGTTTTGCTGTTTTTTATTCTTTTTTTATTTTAGCATTGTAAACATCTATGTGATGACAGCGAAGAAAAATTTATTAAATGCAAAATATGCATTTACAGTTCTTAAATGATTTTATTTAGAAAGGCTTCTCACTATTATCAACACTTGTGACAATGGAAAAGGAAACTTTAGCACTAGAATTACAATACTTAGAACTTTCTTCTGGAGATCGCATTTTAGAATAAACTGCAAAAATTCGAGAGAACCCTCCCTCCATGTTCGATTTTCCTAGGATTGACGTAAATAAGTCTCTGAAATGCTTCTTTCTCAACCTGGTGGTGTGGTGTGGTGGTGTATTTAATTATGGCAAAGCACACGAGGGCTATCTGCCTAAAGGGAGGGATGCCTTTCGTGGAGGACTTTCTAAGGGAAACTGGCTCGTATACACGTTACACATGGGGAAAACCACGAAAACGCCCATGCAGCCAGCCCGTTCGCGGGATTCGAACCTCAGACCGAACTACCAGTGTTCAGCGTCTTTACCGCTCGGCCGCTGGTGGGCCCCTTTCTCAACCTGGAAATATTCGTTATGAATGTCAGCCTTGATCATAATGTAAGTTGATATTCGTAATTTTCATCCAAAAGTTTCGACGGCATCAAAAAGGTATAAGAAATGTGCGTAGTTTTTTGAAATCATGCGTCGATTTCTTTCAGTAATTTACCAAGAGTAAAAAAAAAAGTTTTTTTCTTTCAATTTAATTCCGTGTGGCAATATAGAATGTAATTATTCTTCACCTGCCTCAATAATCCCCCTCACTAACCGCTATAATAAAGTAATTTATTTTTACGTCCATAGGGGCTTTGTCCCCGAGGGACTATTGTTTCCGTTCGGCGATTTTCCATTGAATCCCTCTGAATGTCCGTTTCACCTATCAGACTGTTGCCACCGAATATTATCGGCCTGTATTATATTTGAAGAAATTAAATAATGAGGAATCTGCATAAATGTATCTATGTTTCTCGCCATTGTGCTAAAACACCGGTACGTAGAGCCATCCAATTTTGAATGACGTAATTTTATTGCGAATATGGGCATCTGGAAGCCCGAAATTGGAATTTGTTTTATTATCTATTTCATATTTTGTCAAACATTAAAGAATTTTTTATTAAGAAACTAAACGATTAAAACGCGAGCAATGTACGGGAGAAAAGCCCTTTTTATCTCCAGCGCGCGGAACTGTGCATCGGAAATTCTAAAATATTCTCGTTTTAAAATTATTTTGCGATATTGATGTTGAATTGAATTTTATGGTTCAAGTGCGAAGTTTTCAGATTTTATTTATTTTTTATTTTTTTTCCCTGGCTTCGGAAAAAAGGTTTTTTTTTTTTTTTTTTTTTTCCTTGTTTGTTTTTTTTCCTAATTTTTTATTTTACATTCACGTGCTCTATCTGAATGAGGGATGCTCTTCAAGTTTTAAGACTAAGTGTAGAGTATCTCTTAAACATTTTCCAGGAACTTTACGAGGAATACATGAAGGAACTTCTGCGTTAAAGATATTTTGAACTTTTCGTAAATAATTTCTTTCCCTTTTCATAATTAAAATGTTGCGAAAGTAGCTATTTATATGTTTCTGGTTATATTAATATGAAACTGGTCGACCTTTGCTTCTGTTTTAAAAGGCATTTTTTTCTCATCGTTTAATATAATTAAATCAGTCAAGAACACACGTGATCACATCAATCGCCGCCTATTGTATTTAGAATTTACTTTTCGAGATTGTATTTTAGAAGTATTATAAGTCGTTAAAATCACAAAATGGTTGTTCTCAAGCACTAACCGGAATAAAGCTCTTTCTATCTTATCGTGGAACTCATCAATATTTGTATCAATAAGATCTTAATTTAACTGAACAATGTGAAAAAAAGGGAGGGGGAACAAGTATAGAAAAGCTGATTAAAGGATGTCCTTTAAAATAAAAAGCGATTGTGTACAATTCTAAGTATCATAATCATTTACTTCTATAAGGTAATAAGAAAAAAATTTTTTTTTTTAAAATCTGAAGGTTTTTCAGATTTTAAATTACGCCCAAGGGACGGTTTTTTAAAACATTTTGTGTGTTACCTTGATTTATTAAATAAATTAATATAATTAATTATTAAATTAATAACAATTAATAGTATTATATAATTACAAGTTATAATAATTAAATTAATCCAATTAATAAAATTCAATTAAACCTTCCTCCTTCTTACTTTAATAAGAGTTCTTCCTCCCTGTCCTTAATTCTTTCCTTAATAAATTCTTCGCCCTTAATCCATAAAATTCAGTTCAACAGCAATATCGCAGAATAGTTTTAAAATGACCCTATCTTTAGAATTTCCTGATACGCAGGCTCACGCGCTAGAGATAAAAAGTTTTTTCTGTACAACGTTGCCATTGCTCGCTTTGAAATTCTTGAGTTTGTTAATCAAAAATTCGTTAAAGTTGTAGAAAACATGAAATCGATCGTAAAACAAATAACAAATTTCAAATTTGGGC